GAAAATTTTGTGAATTTTTGAATTAGGGAAATTGTGAATTAGTTAATTGGTAAATTTAGGGAATTGAAAATTTGTTAATTGGGGAATTTGTGAATTGAAAATTTTGGGAATTTGTTCTTGCGCAACAAAATGGGGGATGACTTGGTTGAATGACAATTTGGTAGTGTACATTAAGCAATACGTTTTTTAAAAAATTGATAATGAGACAATCTTGTAGTGCTTTCAAAATATGATACCAAAGAAATTCCAATTATCTGAGCATACAGTTACGAAGTGAAGTTGTATTACTTATTTTTCTTTTGGGTTGTATTAGATTATATTTTCATATTATATCATTTCTACGTTTTAGTGTATTTATATATTAATCGAACAATTTTTAATATTATTTAATTAAAAATTAATAATCAATATCGTCATTCCCATCGTTGCGGTCAACAGTCAATGATTGTCGGCCGCCGTGCTGAACTTCAAGGCTGGATTCGCCCCTGATGAAGATTACAATTTGTGGGCACTAGAGGAATAGTTACCCTCGATAGCCACCAATGTGCTATTCTTCTTTTTCGAGGCTTTTTTTCTTATTTACCACTTCGATGAAATTCTTGTCCCCTCCATCGTTTTGTATGCCATGTTCGCTCCCCTCAATCTGGGTTAGCCGTAAGGCAACAGCATGTTCGCTTCTTTCATATGTGCAATCTTTGTTTTCATCACAAGCATCCTGGCTATGCCAAGCACCGTCTGCCTTGCTTTTGGCTGCCCGCCCATGAACTGCCTTAGTGGTGGTAGGCTGACTGGGATTCTCAGTCACATTAGTTACTTTCTCTACAATAATCTGCCCTTGCTTTACATTCTTACCTGTTTCTCCCACTTGCGAATTCTTATGATTACATCCAAGATTTGTATGTCCAAAAAATTTATAGTTACTACAAAATTTGGGCTCATGTTCGAAAATAACTTCTTGCTCCCTAGTTTTTCCATTTGGGAACTTGAGCTTGACTGCTTTCACCAGCTCCTTCGACGCATCAATTTCCACTAGAGCTCTAGCAAAAGATAATCTACCTCTAGATGAGGTAACTTTGTCAATGCAAAGAGGTTTGCCTAGAAAGGCAGCCCTGGAAGATTAATCCATGCAGGCAGCATACTCACTTCCGTGTCATCAAATTCAAAAAGTTTTGGCATGACTTTGAGCATCGATGGTCTCCCATAAACAAAATACTATCCTCCATGTAACACACTTAGCCTTTCCGCATTCGTTTCAAACTTAAACACCAACCATCCACTAGAGTGGACACAATATTGGTACTCGACTTTCCAAGAATCACATAATTTTAGTGCTACTTTCAATGGCTGACCCGGGGGGGTCCTCGGGGGCACGTGCCCCCCAACTTTTGAGATTTTTTAAATATATAAAATCATGTTTGGTATCGATTGAAATTAAAATTTTAATTTAAATCAAAATTAACAATTAATTTTAATAACATATTTCATGGAATCCATAATTGTTTAACTTTTATCAAAATTTATTAAAAATTTGATTTTAATCCCCACAAAATAGGGCAAAATCACAATAAATTTGAATTTCTATAATATAATAATTTTAAAAATTCTCCGACGATCGTATGCTAATCGAATCTACAAATTGTTTATGCCACCTCAAAGTTTATTTCGAGAACTACATTATGGGTATATCGAATAGTCCAAACAAATTTCGAAAATAGTTAAAAATACGTTAAACATAAGTTTTAAAGAAAGACATATAACTCACTTTTTTTAAAAAAAAAATCAATTATTTCATTAACATTTATTATTTTTGCGATACAAATTTCTCAATGTAATTTTCATCATTTTATTAGGAAATTTTATATGAAATATAACGTAGCAAAATTTCGAATTTTCGTGCTAGATGTACTTCATGAGTTACTACATCCTTTACTCCTTGCTGACGTGGATGTGCTTTGAATATTCAACACAGCAATTAAAAAAAAAACCCAATTAAAAGGCGGCATTTTCTTTGTCTTAAAAACTCCCGTCATTCGCCTCATCCGCAGTGAAAAAGCTCCAGGCGAAAATGGAGCAGCCTGAATACTCAGTCGGCGTCGCCGGCGACTTGGACGACGGCGACCACACCTCGACGAACCCGTTAATTTTCCCCCGATTTGACGGAGATGAAGGGGAAGCCGGCAACTCCCACGCCGACAACTGCGCCGTTTGGGATTTTATCCAAAAATATGATATAAAATGTCGCTTTTTTTATTACTTTGATTCAGCATTTTGGCAAGGCCGAGTTGATAGATAAGGCTGTTGAGCTGTTTCGTGATATGGGTAGGTTGTATAACTGTGTTCGAGCAGTTAAGAGTTTTAATACAATACTAAATGTTTTGGTTGGTAATGATCGGGTTATTGATGCAACCGAGCTCTTTAGGGATGGTTATAAATTGGGTTTTAAATTGAACTCTGTTTCGTATAATATTATGGTCAAAATGTGGCTTGAGAAGGGTGAGTGGGATAGAGCTAGACAGGTGTTTGATGAAATGCTTGAGAGAGAGGTGGAGCCAACTGCCTTGACTTATAATTGTCAAATTGGGATGATGCACGCTGGGGTTTATAATCCGGACCAACATCAAAGATCAACACATTCTTTTCACCAGTTCTTGAAGCTTTCTTGTCCAAACCATATGCAATTGCTGCCGCAGTCGGCTCGTTTATAATCCGCATTAAAAACTGTGTTTTGTGGGTTCATTGCCACCTGATTCTTGGCCACGTCGCCTATTAGCCTCTCAGTATCTGTGAAAGCAACATAAGATGGGGTTGTTGATTATGGCTTGTTGCCTACGTTCATTATGGTGTAAGCTCAGTTTATGTTGGTGTTGTAAGACAAATATTTCAGTTTATATTGTTGATTATGGCTTGTTGCCTACGTTCATTATGGTGTGTAAGACAACTTAATTTGTTGATTATGGCTTGTTGCCTCAGCTGATTATGGTGTGCAAGTTCAGTTTATTTATTGCCTCACAGGTCACTAATATACACACCATAAACTGATCTCTCTGTCTATTTGTCTGGAGGCGGCTCAAGCTTGGTTTGAGTATTAACAGAAGAACTTAACAGTGGGGATGGGGAACTAAGAGGAGAAGAAGAACATATGTTGGTGAAAAACAATAGCCGAGGATTTTTCTTTAGATGAAGCAGGGTTGGAGAAAGATTTGGCAGAATATAGGCCATAGTTTTTTTCTTCTTGTTGTTCAATGTTTGGCTATAAAAGAATGATTTTGATTTTGTGTTGTTATAGTAAAAAAAACACAAAGAACAGATCCATCAATGAGCAAATTAATTATGTTCATCATAAAGATACAAGGATAACACTTGTTGGTTTTGTCTTTCAGATAAGAATGTTCTGGCAAGCATTGCCCACTGATTACAAAAACTTCCTCCTCGCGGGATCGTGAATTCCCTCTTATAAAATCATCAAGATAAAACAAGGTAATTGGACGAGTATTACATTAAAAAATCATAAGAATCAAAATGAACACCAAGAAACTGATCCTACTGCACGATGAATAAATTGTATCATTGTGAGCTTTTCTTCCCATTGTCGTAGTAACTGAGATACCACTGAACGAATTTCTTCAACCCCGTCTGTAGATCTGTTGTGGGTTTGTAGCTAAGCTCAGTCTGAGCCAAGCTTATGTTCGCGTGAGTAAACTGCACATCCCCATTCCTTGGCAACTTCATAATCAACCTCTTTGCTTTCACCTTGAGTAATCTCTCCAAAATGCTCACAAGATTTGAAACAGGAACAGGGGATGTGTTGCCCAAATTGTACAGCCGTAATTGAGCTGGCCCTTTCTTCTTGCCCCCGCTACCAGTACTCTTCTCAGCGGTGTCTAATGCTGCTAAACAACCCTTCACAATATCATCGATGTAGGTGAAATCCCTCGCAACTCAATGTTGATTTCACAAAAAATGTGCCGGTGATTTCACAGTACCAGCAAGATCTCAGGCGACCCGCAATAAATTCGTCGGAGGTTTGATTTCACTAGTTCGACTTCGATCCGCGATTTCACAGGATCGTGATAGAGGAGTGCAAGGGGATGGGGTGATTTTGGGGGTTATTCAAAACAATTTGCCAGCTAAGATTATCACGTGATTTTTCCCTTCCCCCAGCTGCCGTCATTTTTTACTACACCAAGTCCATGTCAGCAGGAAGTAAAGATTTCGGGACGGTGTGTAGTGCGTATAGCTTTATCCTAAAATTATATGGAATATGATTTTTTTGGACGTAAATATTCGATCGTAAAATTTTTCTCAACTTCTTTGCAAGTTCGATTGTGCCGCCCTAAATTTAAAGTTCTGCGTTCGCCCCTAGCTACTTCGCTGAGAATCCCCCAACAAAGTATCCAACAAGGCCATAACCACAAGCTTCCTCAATATTATCCAAATTTTAATCATTAATGATCCCCCTCCTCCGACGAAACAAGCGGTCCAATTTGAGGTTGTCATCACAAGCACGATTATTTTTTAAAAGATTGACCCAAGGGGCCTTAACACCACTATTGTAGTCACATTTAGCATCTTTGTTTTCAGCTTGAGGTTTCTTTACTGAATCATCCGAATCCAGCCAAGTCTACTAAACAGGAGAGAGAGAGAGAGAGAGAAAAAGCGTACAGCCAAGTCCACTAAACAGAACCAGTTCGAATAAAAGCAAACCCAACCAAAGGGAAGAGAGCAGCCCAGACAATTTAAAGAAAAGCCCAACTCGAAGGCCCAACAAAAACCAAAATACCAGAGAATAAGAGGCCCATTCCGCAAAGTAAAAGAAGGGGGCCTAGCTGGCCCAAAGGCCCACTCTGATCGACCCAAGAAGTCCCAAAGCAGAGAGTAATCTGGAAATCACGTGAAGAATCCCAGGAAACCAGCTACATGACATGTGCTGACTCAAGAGGAGACAAAACTACAAACTGGCCAAGAGCATGAAAATTTGCAGGCAAGAACAAAATGTAATGTCGAAAATAGGCTGAAAGTGTGGTTGGTCAAGTTATGTGAATAACCCAACTCAAACATGAAATTTGAATCAAGAAAAAAAAATCCACGTCGATACATATACCTTCATAGGATGAACATGAACGACGAACCCAGAAAAAGAAGGTGCATCAAGGGGACCATACCTAGAACTCGAAACTGAAGAAAAACGAGGAGCAGGCCAAAACAAATAGCTGAACTATGATCGATCCAGAATCATACCCCTATCGCTGGAACAATCTGCACAGTTAAAATTAAAGAAGGGTAGAATGTGATCAACCGTTTGAATTACTTCATTGCTAAAAGGTTAAATAATACAATGGCATATACAAGGAATGATCTAGAAGGACAGCTTTTAAATGGTTCCTAAAATCATGGATTTTGTCTAGAATAATTTACAACAACTTAGTGTTAGCACTATACTAAGAAATAGCAAGAATCTGGCTGCTGATGTATTGCTCCAGCTGGTTAATGACTTGGCAGATTACAGCTCATATGGAGATGGTTGAGGATAAGATAGTTAAGTTAGTTACTTCACTTAACACCCTCCCTCAAGCTAGGAGGTGAAAAATAACTCCAAACTTGTCCTTCAAAAATAGGAACCTTGAATGATTCAATCATTTAGTTAGCAAATCAACAATCTGGTCTGAAGTGGGAATATACTTTACTTCCAATTCTTTGGCAATGACTTTATCTCTGATGAAATACACATCTAGTTCAATATGTTTTATCCTGGCATGATATACGGGGTTGGTTGCCAATGCTCCAGCACTCATATTATCACACCAGACAATTTGAATCTCAGCTAAAGGCAACTGCAGTTCTTGAAAGAGTGACTGAACCCAGGCTATTTCTGAGGCAATTGATGCAAGTGCTCTATACTCTGACTCAGTACTTGAACGTGCTACAACATGTTGCTTCTCGGAGGACCAACTTAGCAGGTTGTCACCCAAATAAACATAGTAGTCGGTGGTTGATCTTCGGTCATCAGGACAGGACGCCCAATCCGCGTCTGAATATCCATTCAAAGTAAGTCTGTCACTTCTTTGAATCCAAAGTCCATGGTCTATTGTTCCTTTTAGATACTTGAACGCCCTCTTCGGCGCTTGCCAGTGTGATGAAGTTGGAGTTTGTAAGAATTGGCTTAACTTATTTACAGCAAAAGTGATATCTGGCCTGGTGTACTGGAGGTACTGCAATCCCTTCCCCCACCAACTGCGCTTCTGTAGACGGTAGGATTCTTCAGTACTTCTCCTTCGATTTTTGACATTGATTTTCCAGCAGGAGTAAGGGTAATGCAAGGCTTTACATTTTGCAAATCGAACCTCTCAAGTAAATCAGTAATTTATTTGGTCTGAGTAAGATAGATACCAAATTCATGCCACAGCACCTCAACTCCAAGAAAGTGGTGCAACCTTCCCATATCTTTCAAAGCAAATTTTTTGTTTAGATTTTTTATGAACTCCTCCAGTAGCCATTTGTCATTACCTGTTACCACAATGTCATCAACATAGATAAGTGTAAAAATTATTTGATTTTCGTTTTTGAAATAAAAGAGTGAAGTATTAGACACTAATTGCTTGAATTTCTAGCCTAGAAATGTGGCTTTTAGTTTCTCATTCCAGGCTCTAGGTGCTTGTTTCAACCCATAGAGTGCCTTGTTCAATTTGCATACATGATTGGGCTTTAACTGATCAACAAATCCCTCAAGTTGACTCATAAAGACAGTCTCATCCAGCACTCCATTAAGGAAGGCGTTATTGATGTCTACCTGTCTAATTGTTCATTCATTTGTGACTGCCAAGGTAAGGATTATTCTGAGGGTTGATGGCTTAATGACAAGACTGAATGTTTCATAAAATCAATGTCTGGTGTTTGATGAAAGCCTTTTGCCGCAAGTCTGGCCTTGAATCTCTGCACTGAGCCGTCTGTATTTTGCTTGAGTCTGAAAACCCATTTATTTCCAACAATGTTATATGTTGCTGAAGGAGGCACAAGTTCCCTAGTTTTTGTCTTTGTTAAGGCATTGAATTCTTCTTCCATTGCCTTCTTCCAATCAGTACTCATCAAGGCTTCAGTTATACTTTGAGGTTCTGATGGTTTTTCAGTTAACTTTCCAAGGTAGAATTTTGGTTTGAACACCCTAACCTTTGCTCTAGTTATCAGGGGATTACGACTTCCTGCCCTGTGTTGAGGCAAATCTTCACTATCATTGTTATTCAGCTGCAAGGGAGCTTCATTAATCTGTGATTCTGGCCTCTCATCTTCAGCATTTTTTTCAAGCTCATCAAGATTATTTCCATGTACTATGTTGTCAATTGAGTCGAGGGCAAGTGATGTTCTGCACGAGTAGCTTCAGGATGAGTAATATCAGCAGGACCAGGATTGAATTCTGTTTGATTTAAGTCATAAGGAAAATGAAAGTGGGATACTATAGTTTCTATCACAGATGGTTATGAATGATTTTTGGTGGAAGTTAATGACTCGAATGGGAATTCCATTTCATTGAATATAACATGACTTGAGATGTACAACCTTCCTGTGGAGCTTAGGCATTTGTAGCCTTTATGAGAATCACTATAACCAAGGAAGGAGCACTTGGTGGAATGAAAGCTGAATTTATGGTTTTGATAGGGTCTTAGACAGGGGTAGCAAGCACAACCGAATATTTTTAAGGTCTGATAATCGGGTTGCTTATTGTATAGAGTTTGATAGGGTGATTGTTTTTGAAGAGTAGGTGTTGGCAACCTATAGATAAGGTATGTTGCAGCTTGAAAGGCTTCCCACTAGTATTTCAAAGGTAGTTTTGATTGAGCTAAGAGTGTTAAGCCCGTTTCTGTAACGTGTCTATGTTTTCTTTCTATTCTTCCATTTTGGGCTGAAGTATATGGACACGAATGCCTAAACTCTACTCCCTTTTGGCTTAAGAATTTTGAGAAAGTCCTATACTCACCACCCCAGTCTGCCTGTAGAGTTTTTATCCTACATCCCAATTTATTTTCAACTAATTTTTTGAATTGAATGTACACATTTAAGGCTTCAGATTTTTGTTTCAATGGATAAATCCAAGTAAACCTGCTACAGTCATCAAGGAAAGAGATATAATACTTGAATCATGATGTGGACAGAATAGGGGCTTGTCCCCATATATCAGTGAAGACTAATTCAAGTGGGACTCTAGCCTGTGATGGAGATAAAGGAAATGGTAACAGATGAGCCTTGCCCAGTTGACAAGCATTGCAAAAAGTTCTGATATCATTTTCTTTAACTTTGATGTTACAAGATTTGAGCACTTGATTAATCACTTGGCTAGAAGGATGACCAAGCCTCTTATACCATACATCACTTGTTGAAATAAAAGACTCACGACTGGGAATGACAGAAGAAAGGTTACAGGATGATTCATTTTTGTGGACTGACTCTTGAGTGAAGTTCTTGGTAATTTGGTGAGGAAGGTTGAGCTGATATAACCCCTAATTAAGCTTCCCTTGCATTATCACCTCCTTCGTTGACTGATCCTTGACGAAACAGCAATCAGAATAAAACTCCATGTAAACATTATTATCTGAAGTAAGCTTGGAAACACTGATAAGATTCTTCTTAATTTCAGGCACAAGAAGAAGCTTGTTCAGAACAAGAGTTTTATCATTTGATGCTGGAAAGTATGAAGTGCCAAAATGAGAGATATTCAACTTACTTCCATTTCTTACCATCACTTTTTCTTTACCAGCATATTCATTGACTGAAACGAGGTTTTCCTTGTTTGAGGTGATGTGATTGCTTGCTCCAGTATCTACATACCATGCTGGATCGTTTACAGTGCTGGGACCTGCAATCAGAGCTGTAGGTGAAGTGTTAAAGTTGGTCCTATGGTTCAGAAGAGCACTAGCATATCTGTCATCATATCTATAGTTACATATGTTAGCTTTGTGACCAATTTTCCCACAAACTTAACATATTATTTGTCTGTCATTGCCACCATATGGACTGCCTCCTCTGTTTCTGCCCCTTCTCCTTCCTCTAAAATTATTGAAATTAGATAATCTTCTACCAAAACTTGGTATGTAAGATCTGCTACCATGATAGTTACTAGATCTTTGGGAGAAGTTGGCTGAGGTATGATTTATGTTGAATTCAACTATGTCACTTCACAGGGAGTTGAGATGTTCCAATCTGCTTTCATATGTCATGAGTGTAGATTGGAGCTCACCGCAGGAGTATAATCCTCATCTAGTCCAGCCAAGACTTGAGTGACAAGGTCTGTATGAACCACGGTTTTACCAGCAATTTCAAGGTTATCAGCAAGTTGTTTCACTTTGTTTAAGTACTGATCAATATTCAGGTTTCCCTTCCTTGATTTTTGCAACTCACTGGTGAGGAAAATAATTCTGGACCTGTTATGTACCCCATAGCTCTCTTTAATTGCTGTCCATAACTCCTTCGAATTGGTTGCCCCCATGACCCTCATTGCAATGTCAAGAGTCATGGAAGAGTAGAGCCAGCCCATAAGCAACTGGTATGTTGACATCCATTGCCCAAACTCAGGGTTCTTCACCATTTCAATGTTGGTACCAGTGTCACCTATAACTTGACTGCCAATAAATTCTTGGGGACACATCTTTGTCCCTAAGCTATAACCCTCAAGGTTATGTCCTCGTATAATAGGAAGTATCATATTCTTCCATGGTAAGAAGTTGTTTTTGTCCAACTTGACTGAAACAACTTGAGTAAGGTTAACTCCAAAAGGTGTAATGTTGCCATTGTTTATCAGAGGAGTAGATGTGCTACTGGACACCGAGGCTGGTACAGGAATAGGATCAGCATTCTGGGGTGAATTAAAATCATTGGCGTTTGCCATTTCAAATCTCTGATACCAAGTTAAAATTAAAGAAGGATAGAATATGTGATCAACCGTTTTAATTACTTCATTGCTAAAAGGTTAAATAATACAATGGCATATAAAAGGAATGATCTAGAAGGACAACTGTTAATTGGTTCCTAAAATCATGGATCTTGTCTAGAATAATTTACAACAACTTAGTGCTAGCACTATACTGAAAAATCGCAAGAATCTGGCTGCTGATGTATTGCTCCAGCTGGTTAATGACTTGGCAGATTACAGCTGATGTGGAGATGGTTGAGGATAAGGTAGTTAAGTTAGTTACTTTACTTAACATGCACAAACCATCTGGACGAAAATCTGAGCAGCAGCAATGAATCGAGCAAAACCCAGGTACAATCGAGCACAAAACTGTCTCGAACTACCAGACCCACCTGGAAACACAGAAAGGTCCACCACCAGAAAACAACCAAACACCTCCAAGAAGCCAAGAAGACCAGAGGGGAGAAAGAAGCCTGAAATAGAAGACCAGAGAGAAGAGGAAGAGGGAGAGAAGACCAGGAAGTAAGAAGAAGCTGCAGCCAAGACCACCGTAGAAAATGGTCACAATAACACTCCCAGCTAATAAGCCAGTAATCTTCAGAACTTCAAGCAATAGCACAAACTGGACTTACGAAGTAACCATAATGAACACCAAGTTTAAATTTTACCAAGATAAAGTAAAATCCAAACTTAAAACAAAATGTAAGAATCAATTTCACCAAATGGGGGTAGTCATCGAATCAAACACCAGAAAGAACAAGAGAAATCAAGGCAATCCAGTGAGAATTTCTCTCACTAGACTTGAGAGCATCTCTCTCTAACCTTGTCTCTATGTTTTCTAATGTTAACTATTATATTCTTAGTCTTACTTTAAATCTTGCTTTTAGTGAATCTTCATTATTATCAGACATTAGTGAAATGTTTGATAAGTTGTATATTATTTTATTGGACAATATTAGATAAGTAATAATAAGCTTAAGTATTGTCCATTTTTCCATCCAATATTGCATGATACAACATACTAATGACGCACTTGATATGTCGATGTTGTAGAACCAAAGATAAAATCAATGGAAAATTATACTCTTTGATATTAATTTGGGTTGGATGCATCTGAATATAATGACAACTTATATGTAATCATTAATTTTCATTATGGTTTTAGCGAATATTCATTAATTTTAAGCATTATTGGTATGTTTGATAAGGTGTGTAATAGTAATGGACAAATATAACAATGTTAAAAAAAGCTAAAATCTTGTCCATCTTTCATGCTTCACACGCTATACGAAACACGCTATTTGTTGAGGCAAGGTATAAGTACTTCTTTTGTTCAACTTAAAAGTAAATATAAGTACATGGACAAAATATATATACAGCTTTTAGTCATTCTTCACTTCCTTCTCATACTTTTCAAGTCCTTTCTTCAATTCTCCATGTTAGGCAACTTGAGTTAATTATAATTGTGTGATGCGTATAGATATTTTTCTATTTCGTAACTACAAACTAACTCTAAGCTAAACTTTTTGACTGCGCAATAGAATATTATTAAACTATAAAATCCTATATATAAAAATTGTATGAGACGTCTCTTTATTCATAGATATTTCCATGCACGAGTGAATAAATTAAATTTGTATACACTATTCGAGAATATCATTGTGAAAGTAGTAAGGTGTAAGAATAAAGTAAAACTAATTAAATTACTGGAACAACTTGTTATCAATTTAATTGGTGAGACGTAAATTGAATTAATTATCGAAGTAAACGTGCAATCATGGAGTGTAATTGCATCCACTCAGTGGAGCTGTTTTTTAAAATTTATATTTGAGTCCATTTTTAAATACGGTTACTTTTTCTTTTTTTTTTTGAAATGGGCTTTCATTCGTCAAATCGAAATACATCTGTGACTCTACAATACAGGAAAAACTCGACTCAAAGCCAAACTACGTAATCTGCGCTTGAACACCCCCGCACATAAAGACATTGTCTAAACTTCTACACCTTTTTGAAAAGATGGAGAGAACTCAAAAGCTTGAGTCTCCACAATGGACCAAAAGTCCAAAAGCCAACCCACAACAAACAAAACTAAACAACACAAACTAAAACAAACCACACAACACCAACCAAACACCAAAACAGCACTAAAAACAAACAAGAACAACAACAGCATCAAAACCGCCGGCAGAGGCACGACGGTACTCCCCCCGCCGGCAAATTGCAGCCCGAAACCAGCCGAGCCGAGGACCCAGCTCGCGTACAGAAACACAATCCCCACAGCAATGGCCAGCCGTACGGAATCCGGCCATACCTCGACTGACTTCTTCGCCTGCACCGTCTCGGAGAGAAGAGCCGACTCACCACCCAAAAACGCTGGCAAGGACAACACAAACACACCGACAAAAGAAAAGGAGGGGAAAAAAAGAAGAAGAGAGGGAGGGGGAGCCGAAGCTCCCACCCCCAATGAGCGCTCACGGAGTGGGAAGTTTCAGGAGAGAAGGGAGAGGAAAGGTTTCAGGAGAGAGGAAAAAGCACACACCCTCCAGAATACATACTTAAATACGGTTACTCACTTACTTGAGCTTGAATTGTAAAGTTGCCTAGAAATACTTGACCTGTGGCAACTTAAGATGATGGATTTTTATTTGAGGAAATTACACCTAGACCTGGTTTTAACATTCCATTTTCATAAATCTTGAATCAAGTTTCATTATGCAAAAATCAGGTTTTAATTAAAAATTTTAAAACATTTTTTTATTTTTAATTTTTAATTATATATACTTCCCTACCCTATCTACCCAATCAAACCCTAAAATCAATTCTCAACTCTCATCCCTCTTCTCTCGTCTCTTGCTCTACGGCGGCGGCGGCGACGGTCACTCCCAACCCCCCCTCCCACAAGCTTCCTGTCTACCCCATTACCTCCATTTCTCCTCTTCTTTACACCTCTCAGCTTCTGACTCAGCTACTCCCGTCGACTCTCTCCATAATCTCCTTTCCATCAATGTTGCGATCCTTTGTTCAATCCCGGCAAGCTCCTTATGCAATCGGACCTC